TGGCTTAAAGTATTAATTACGTTAAAACATGAGTATCTTTCACTATAATTACTATGAATAATGATTTAAAAACAACGAAAGATATGAGGTATAATTTTCGAAATTTTTAACTTATAATTCAAAAACCTTGTGTCAAATTATATTTAACACCCACTGTACATATTTTTACATGGCCTCCGCGATTAGAAGACAAATGAGTATAAGATACTGTTATGCATCGTTAAGGACGAATGAATCAGTCAACAGATGTTACTAAAAGCTTCTTGCAAAATCCTACATACACATTGATTACTCACTAATTTGTTTGACAAATAAATCTTCATTATAAGATTAACTTTCTGATTTTTGTATGGGTTCCCTCTTCAATCGCCAATTATTGATGTAGTTAAAAAGGGAGCCCGTTAAAGTAATTCAGTTCGCTTAATATTCGTAGATTTCTTATACAAAATCTACAGCAACGGAAGCTCTTAGAGATCACTTAACAACGTTGAGTGCAATGGAAGATATACATTGTAAATGTAATTTGCAGAACAAAAACTTAATTAATAATCTATCTGTTATTCTAAACTATGAGCCTAAAATCCATTGAGCCGTTTAGGAGATACCTTGTGACAAACATCCATCCATACATCCATCCAATGTTTTGCATTTGTAATATTATTATAGTAAAATAAAGTACATTGATCTTTTCGATATCAAAGAGTTTGGTCATATTCTGGACATGATTGTAGAGTACGTTTTTAAATCGGTCGATTTAAGGCAAGTTATTAAGTCATAATTTCACGTAAATTCTTCGAGAGTCAATCGTCGATACTGAGATCTTATGCGTAGATTACTCGTTCATTAAACTGTCATCGCCTATAAGCAACATAATATGTATTGTTTATGAAGGATTATATATATCAATGAGTTAATATATTAATTTTCTGACAGAAAGGAACTTTGGAATGTACCGACATTTTTTAACTGTTAACTTTAAAGTTATTCAAATTATTCGACACGGTTAATTAAGCATAAGATAAATGTTAAAGATTAAATTTTTCAGAAACAAGTTGGATCAGTTATGCAACTCGGTTCACCGGTCATCATATTAATTAATAAACTGTTCTTTTCATTGGTTACGTTATTATAGTTTATATTATAAATATAATTAATAAAATAAATAAAACTTTATTAGTCTAAAATAGTAAGCGTTTCACAATATTCGATTGAGAAAAAAAGTATGAAAAGAACATGACCACTTGCTAAATTGCAGCCATTAAAAAAGCTAATGATAAAGAAGCCGATCGTCCAACATCGTAAACTAGATTTGTTCATTTTATTGCTATAAACGTTTGCTTTTTTAATTATAGACCTTTTGCCTGACTGACAGGGTTGTTTTGTTGTTCTGTTTTTTGATAACACGTCTGCTCTTTTAAGCTCCTATAGCCTAAGTTTCTTGACCGATTTTGAATAAAGAGATGTTATTCAATTTCAATTCTTCAAAGTGTCGAGGTTATTAAGATTTTATTACTTTGTTATTTATCTGGTTGTTGGTATGTAATAAGCTAAAATTTCTGGAGGACAAAAAGGAAACTACCGTAATACGTAATGAAAACAGGATGGTGCAAGGACAATGTTTAAGAATGCAAATTCCCTGCCGAAGCACGAACGCGAAGCGCAGCCAGAATGAATAAGTTGTTAGAACGATTTAAACGTTATCGTGCTGTTTAATCAAATACCGATTATCGATAAGGGACAGGTCAAACCGCAAGCGATGCACTGGCTTTATAGCTTTTTAACTTGCCGTAACGGGTTCTGTACAGTTTTAAATTAGATTGCAGATGCGGTTGCGAAACTGACTCTACAAAAACCACATAAGTATGAGGGAATTTAATAGAAATCTTAAGTAGATTTTAAATTGCATCAACGCGACGATCTCTTTCCACGATATAACAGATTAGATGGAACCAGACGTCTTATAGTAAATTTTAATTCGTATTATTAGACGCATTTTGAATTTGTGAAAAGACAAATGAAAGAACGAATATACTTAATGTTTGTTTCTGACAAAAGCTAACAATGTTTTTTTTATGTAAATTAATTTGACGACGTAAAGACAGAATAATAAAAAAAATATATACCTAACCATTCCACTAATATAAATCATTATAACTATACGTAATTTTTTTTTATTTTAACACATTAAGACGGTAAGATAAATATCTAGCAATAAAAAGGATAGGATATTTAATTAAATTATAGGATAGAATTTACATGAATTGAATAATTTTTGTTCATAGCTTTAAATTTGTTAAACAAGTTAGTATTTCAATCGTAAACATAAAGCGAGCGAGGTAAAAGAAAAGGTTTTTGTTTAAATCGTTATGAAGGACGTGTAGTATACGTACATACATATATAATTACGCTTCGTAATGAATTGAACAGGCTATAACGAAACGGTTGGATGGCATTTGGGTCGCAGGCGCAGATTGCAATGCGAGTTACTTCTGTGGCTGTTCAATTCCTCTCTGTGTCATTTGAAAACATTTTTTATGTACATTCGTCCACATGTGCTATCGTTAATAACTGTCATGTGCTTTAGTTTCAGTACTCGAGTGGCAATGATCCAAAGCTAATCTTAATATGGCCTACATACCATATTTGCTTACAAGAAATATGTTCTTTAATAATCTGGGATTAACTTACATATCGTGTCAGTTTTAGTGATATTTATATTTCTTGATTTGGTTTTAAATTGTAATTTTAACTAATAACAGACTACAGATTATTAAGTACAAATTTGATCTTATACAGATACATTATATTCATACAAAATTATTAAGATTATAACAATCTTAGATATAAATAACTAGCTCTCGTCTGTTAAGTCCACGCGGAATTAAAAAAAACTTAGTTGCCTATGTGTTATTTCTGATTATGTTCTACATCTATGTCAAATTTCAGCGAGATGCATCCATCCATACATCCAAATATTTGTATTTATAATATTAGTAAAATAAGATAAGTAAATTTCATAACCATTCCATCGATTCTTTTAAAATATAACAAAAAAATAACTTAAGACCTTCATGTTAATTTTTGTTGTTTAAATTTAAATTGTTTAATTCTATAATTTTACTAAAATATTATTTAAAACAAGGTCTAATCAAAATGCAATGTTCCTTCAGTTTAATAGACAACATACAATGGTCAGTGAGGATTTTTAACGGTACTAGTCTTCATTAAGACGATGTCTTCAAATAAAAAGCGTATGCGAGTAGGAAATGCGCCGAGTTCCCGGTAAGGTAATCACAGAGGAGTTGGACAAACCTATGTTTATTATAAATCTAATGACGCCAGGGAATCGTTAGAGCTTCCGACATAAAAGTGTCTGTCATTAAAGGCCGTTTTTTCTCATTCATATTTATATTAAATTATACTAGGGCTTATATAACTTTTGGTGTTCTTTAAACGTTTTATGAATTCGGATAATTAAAGATAGATCAACAGTGGATTGGTTAAAATTTTCTCGTAGGGCTGGTCTAAAATTTATGGAACACAAATATAAAGATTTACATTGCAATAGGTGACGAACATTATAATAAGAAAAGCTACGTACTTGATAAAAAAACTTAAAGTCAAGAAGGCTTATTATTTTCAAAGTACAATAATTGTTACTTATTTTTAAATACAAAGATCATGTTGGCCAAAACATTGTGCGTAGTTATTAAACTTTGTAATCTACTTATTCATTTATTTATCATATTTTTAATATAGTACATTTCATATCCAAAAAAAATATATACAAAACATATTATATTAAAAACTGAACACCACCGGCTGCGGAATCCCATGACTCAAACAACCAGTGGTCAGGGCTGCAGACAGGAACCTTCTCACGATGCGCGCGGTTTCTAGGATAACTGCCTTTTGTATCGGGCCCTTAATCCAACTGTGTAGCGAGAGCTTCTTATTAAACTGATGGTATATTAAACTAATTATTTACAACAATTATTTATAATGTAAATTATGTATTTACATTAAAACAATATTTAAATAATATTGTAATCATGAATCATCTATACTAATATTATAAAGCGGAAGAGTTTGTTTGTTTAAACGCGCTAATCTCAAGAACTACTGGTCCGATTTGAAAAATTCTTTTTTTGTTGGATAGTCCATTTATAGACGAAAGCTTTAAGCTATATAACATTACGCTGCGATCAATAGTTTTTTTTAATTCCGCGCGGACGGAGCCGCGGCCGATAGCTAGTAATAAGATAAAAGCGCATTAATGATTGATTCAAATGTATAAAAACAGTAAAGGTGAATATTTATACATCTCAACATTGAGTATTGGTACCAAACAAATGCCGCGTACAACACTCGACGAAGGAAATTACCTTGTACTGAAATAAAGCTTGGTTTGTTTCATTTATAGCATCTGTTCCCTTTAACTCTTTTGTCGGTCCCTGAGTGTAAAAATAAGCTTGTTTTTCGATGCTTAAACAACTAGAAGTGTCTCTCGTTTTCAGTAACTTGTACTTGATTTTAACTTAGTAAGGGTTTATAAAGCTTTTTTAAGTATAAGATTTTTTAATTTCGAATGCTTTGCTAATATTTAATTGTTAAAACACTTTCATTGTCAACTCATCGAGGTTTATTTTAAAGATTAATAAAATGTGCAATTCAAGAGTACTTATCAATCCAAGATAACTAGGAATTAACTCCGCGATAAAGTGGTTCAAAAGATCAAAATGCAAAGAACATTTAAAGTTTTAAATCATTGTAATGACAAGCTAAGTTACAATTTCTATATGACTTAAAAAACATCGTCGGTGTGTATTTTATAAAGTTTACTTAAATTCTACATAAGTATGTATTAATTAAAAAAATAGCTAATTAATTTCAATTAAAAGTTGAAACTGAATTTTATTTAAGATTCTTAGTAGAAATTTTATCACATTATTAAAACTTAAAATTAACTTAAAATCATATAGTATCGGTATAAGACTTACAAGGTAGGGATCGTCAATGTTCCTAAAAAAGCGATAACACAGATAACAAAATCACAAAGTCACAACACTGGACACTGGACACGTTAGCGTTATCAAACGCAAAGCGATCGATAGCAGGTTCGCAGTGCGGGTGAAACGGTCGATGCGCGCGGCGCGACTGAGCTGCCTGAGGGACGGTGCGACGCGGCTACCGAAACCTACTACGATGATAACATTTGCCGCAACTCCATTCATTACGTTTCTATATGCTTGATGCATGGCCCGTGTTTTTTTTAATGTTTTAGCTACTGGTGAAGAAACTTATAAGATTTTTTTTTATTGGTAGATAATCTGTTATATGTTTTTACATTTCACACTGTAGATGACAGTAAATATGAATTATCCGCTTTTCTTTTTGTAGATACAGGTGTTTAAATTTTCTTTTATTTTTCGATAAATATTTCAAGAGTTTAAACTATCTAATAAAGAACTCAAGCAGTTATTGTAAGTTTTTAACAAGAGTAGGTAATAGTCTTTTTCTGGGTGTTAACTTAAAAAATCATTAGGCAAATCACTAATATCGTGTAGATTAACTAATTTTAATGCATTCAAGAATATAAATACATAACTAATTGGAATTATACAAGTAATTCGGTAATTACAGCTATTTGAAAAATTAAAAATTGGACAGCTTTTGTTATATTTTTCAATTACGTGAAAAAAAAACAATTGAAAATATATTTTTACTTTATTTTTTTTAAAACAAAACTGTGAGAGTATTTTCTTAATAATTGAAGTTTAAAAATAATTAGATTGAGAGAATAGACGATACAACGTACAACAGCTAGTATACGACTACAAGAATACCGTACAAAACCGGACATCCTATTTGTCCGGGAAGAGGATGTACATCCATATTATGCCGGACATTTGAGAGCCATATTTGTATTGAGCCGCACACGAATTTTGACTTAGTCGATATAATGAGAAATGTATGTTATTATCGTTACGTTAGCTATAAATAAAATGATTCAATTAAGTTTATTTATAATCTATCAGATGCTTCAATAATATTTTAATTATTAGAAATTCATGACTAACTTTAACTACAAAAATACATCGTCATCCTTCTCATTGTTTTTGAAAAAAAAAACAAAACAGAAATGGCCATATGTGCTGGCGTTTCTGTAGTAAAAACTCGTGATATTTTGTTTATTTATTTATTATTCAACCTATTTCACGATTCTGTAAATATTAATTTGATTTATAGCTGATTTCTGAGAATAAAATCTCTGTATATCATCATCCCTGTCATCTATGACAAAACAAAGACAACAATATGTTTTAAACTTTGAATGTAGTCTCAGAAACCCACGATTAGTACCTAGTAATAAGTAATTAGAAATGTTTATATATTAACACAGTATTGCATAATTCAATTTTATGTTTAAAAAACAAATACATAGTATTTTTCATATAGTAATATATAACTGTAATATGTATATTATCTTATCAAAATAATAATAAGATGAATAATTATTAACATAGTTCCAAATGAACTTAAATGTAAGATGTATAATAAATGTAAATATAGTACCGCACTTAACTAGTTCCTCTGGTATTGCTGATGTCCATGGGCGTCGTTGAACACCTCGGTGTTCCCGCTGCTCGTTTGCTCCCTTCTGTTATAAAAAAAAACTTATGTTCTATAAGATGCTATATTTGGCTCAGATAAAAATAACATAGCGCAAGAAACCTTACGTTTGAAGAAATAAAAAGCACTATAATACTTATATTATCCATATGCCTGTTCTTAGGCTTCGTTGGATTTTTTCTTGCCTTCCCAATGGCATTTGGCATTTCCCTCTTATATATTACAGGAAGGAATACCCATCAAGTGGTTATTTCCTGTAATTTAGAGCTTACGTTCATTTAATTTAACAGAAAAAGCGAATAAACTGTTGTAATTTTAAACTTTATTGCGTAATTATAGGTTTAACTAAATGGACTGAAATTATCGGAGATAAATGCACCTAAGCTGTCTTATAGCTTCTCAAAGACATTTCTCAAAACGGAAGGTGCAAACATTGCAATGAGACATTTAAGTTTTTTTTTTTAAGTTATTATGGAGATAAAATGCTTAATTCAAAACATTATTTAAAAAAAATCTAGTCATTAAGGAACTAAAATTTTGAAAATTTCTCTTGATATAAATTCTTTTGTACGTAAGAAAATTTTTATGTTTTAGTCAAACCGTATTTTGTAGCAATAAAGATAACCGTTTTCTGAACTCTGTAAAGCAAAAACATGAGGAACATTCTCTTGGTACTAAACAAAAACTACAAAACATCGTTAATTTTACGAAACTACGTGATAATATTTATCGGAGTTTGGAACGTTCCTTCTAAATTAATAATTCTGGTATATAAAATGTTTCCTCTTATTATCACACTAGTAAGATAAGCGACTGGGCCTTTCAAAACAAAACGTATGCTTTCTTATAATATTTTAGACGATAATTTAATCTTAATCATATTATAAATGCGAAAGTTTATATGGATAGATGGAAGGATATTTGTTGGAAAGTATCTCTAGAACGGCTGCATGGATCTCGCTGAAATTTGGCATAGATGTAGAACATAGCCTGTAAGAACATATGTCCACTATTCAAATTATTTTTTTTTAAATCCGAGCAGACGGATCGCGGGCGATAGCTACTTTTTTAAATAAAAGTGTCAGCAACAGCAGAACAAAACTTAGTGCTAACGGCAAGTTTTCACTGCCAATTGTTTTTGTACAGATGTTTCGTCACTGGAAACTTACGGTTATGATCAACGTCAAGCATCAAGGTCTGTTTATAGTTTAGCATAGACACTTTACATTCTAATTACATATAATTGGCAGGTTAGAATTATGAAAGTTATTTTGTACCTGTACAAGGCCATAAAACATTGTAATAAATATGTAAACGAATCGCTTACAGTTAGATAAACGTGCGTTTTGTTCGCAACTTTTATCAACCGTTCCTCTCTTAACAATCTGGACGCACGTTTTACGCCGATATCACGTATAGCTCATCGAACAGAACGCTTTTGATAAGTCTGTCAAATGAGATGAATAGAAGACCCGCTTAATAATGTTTCTCTACATAAATACATTTTAAATCGTATTTTTAATATTATATATTTCTGCATTACCAGTATAAATATAACTGCTTACTTCTTACTAATATTATAAACGCGAATCTTGGATAGATTAATGGATGTTTGTTAGAAGGTATCTCCGGAATGGCTGCATGGATCTCATTGAAATTTCCCTTAGATATAGAACATAGCTTAAAAGAACACATAGACTACTGATTAAGTTGTTTTTTATTAATTCCACTCGAATGGAGTCGTTGGCGGCGCCAAGTGTTATACATTGCCAGCAATTTCTATTGCACACTAGTTTTTAATTCTACACGATTACAGAAACGAAAGAAATTCTTTGCTCTTAAGTATTTAACCATAGTTATAAAAATCTTATAAATGGAAAAGACGATGTTACTCAAAGAAAATACGGAAATGATTTCTATTTCGTTCTGTGTAAAAGAAAACAAGACATCGATTTCTATTTTTGTCTAATCGTATAGTGTGAGCTAATTTTCCTTTCGATCTGCTTTCATTGCGCGTTACAGTTTACGGAGTTATCGCACCGTGGTTTATAATTTGGTTGTAAAATTGCGAAACTGTTAGTTTTTGTTAAAATAACCCGAGCATACGACGGGCTAACGGTCTGCGAGCAGATTGAATAGGGACATATTTTTGACCACTTCTTATTTGTAGTTAGGCAACGGTTTCGAGATACTTTTAATTATTTTTATTTTTCTTAAGTATGCAACGTAACCGGGCCAATGAACAAAGGCATGTTTTCATAAGAATAGTTTGTTGATATAGTCTAGTATATTTCTTTCTTTTTAATATGTATATGATGTTAAACTCTGATGTAAATTGTTGAACACATAAATTATAACGTTAAAAATAAAGCATTTTATAACAGACTACAATTTTAGAGCAGAATAAGCACATAATAATTTACAAAAAGTAAATATCAGCGAACGTTGAAATTATTTATAACTTTACTAGCCGTCGCCTTCGACTCCTTCCGCACGAAATAAAAAAAATCTTAATTGGTAACCTATGTGTTCTTCCGAACTATGATCTACATCTATGTCAAATTTCATCGAGATCCATTCAGCCGTTCTGGAGATACCTTTAAACAAATATCCACCCATCTCGACATTCGCATTTATCATATAAATTAAGCGTCAATAGCCTAATGGTTAAGGATACGGATTTCCGATCACGAGGCCGGGGTTCGAATCCCGACATTCGACTATTATCGTGAACCATGTCCTAGTTGGAATGGTAAAAGAAATAATAGTAAATTTACAAAATAATCCACAAATATTTTACAAAAAAAATTAAGTAAGATGTAAGATTTTGATGTGTCTAATAAGAAAAAAAAATTAAAATGTATTATAATTTTACACATTCGCCGTACTATTAAAATTTTATTTAATAGCCAAGCATCTTAAATCTCCTGTATTCTTTCGACAGTCAATCAACCTTGATCTGGTATTGCAGGATAATGACATTGTTATAACGTACTTAGGAAGATGTTAATGTTATAAAGATTCTCACGTGGAAATATTTGTCCGTAATTTTCGTGGCAATTGAAACATATATCCTGTTAGTTTAATTCCAAGCAGTACCAAGCACCACTCTTGCACCATCCTAAACATTCGACATCCTAAAACCCTTTAACATTATACAAAAAAATGTCTCGTTTCTGTTTTGAAATAGAATAGGAAGAATAGCATTTCCTATTTGACTTCTTACTTTGGGTTTTTAAGATTAAAATCCCCGTTTAAAACATATAGTTATGTCTGTTTTGTCGAAGATAAACAAGGATGACTATATGTTTTTTATAGAGATTTTGGTGTCAGAAACCCACAGTTAGTGTTACATGAAATGTAAACGACATAATAACTGTTGTCGCTTTTTTCGCTCGTAACACGGTCTCAGCTTAATTAAGTCCATACAGTACACGCTACAGTTAGCGTGAACAATTAATCTTTACTAGGATCAAACAATTACATTCTTAATTATACATCTTCATTTAAC